CCATAAATTAATCTGCGAAACAAATGTAAAGTATTGTACACAGGGCTATCTATTTTCCCCTTTGACCTTTTTTCAGAACATTGTTTTTGTAAGTAGTAAAATTTACACTGGTTTTTCCTGGTACAGATCTCGGGTCAAAGGAAAAGGTTTATGATGTTTTTTCTGCTTATTGAATGTTAGTTGATATTAACATTGAATGTTGCAGACACATTTTTGCAGAACAATCATTTCACTTGTGTAGAGATGTAAAATATTTCAAATTTTTGTCTGAAAGTGAGGCCTAATTAATTACTCTCGGTTCTTGTCCGCCATTTAATTGTCTTGACGAGCAGCGACTAGTCATGGAAAATGCTTCACGTGAAACAGAAAAACTTGGATATTGATGATGATGCCTTTAGTGTATCTTGTGTAGTGGCTTTTTTTATTGTTTAGCCTGTGGTCTTGATTCTGGAATGTTTTACTCATCAATAACAAACATTTAGCACCATTAACAAGTCTCTGAAGGCTTCTCTAGTGCTTCATTTCAAACATCAGCGTTAATAGAAATAAAGAAATTCATAGGCCTTGAGTATAATCATGTTTCTCTGCTGTATTGGGAATTTTACAGATTTTAATCAACCTGAATGGCAAACTTTGTCAATCCTCTTTTCCATATGACCATCCCCATTCTTTGTATGGTGAGATGGGTTTTGGGCGAGTGGCAGGGGAAGACTTCTTTTGAATTCTTGACCTCTGTACTCTCAGGACTAAGACGTAACTATACATATTTTTATGTTTGTCAATCATGATTCTTGGTTTTCATGTCAAATTGTAAATAAAGTGAATACCATCTTTCTGTCTTTTTTCCTTTATGGATTGCTGCCCTTTCAATTTTAAACTTTTCTGGGTTACCAAATGTATGGCATCTTTTAATTGTGTCCATTTCAGCATCTATATTCCTGTTTAAGTATAAAATGGCTCTGTAAAGTCAACTTGGTGACTACGAGATCGAATTTTCTTTCAACAATATCTTAGTTTTTCAAACATAATCTATTTCCAAGGAAAATGCTGCCTGACTTATTCTGGTAATATTTCAGATTTAGACTCTTGTGAGATTTGGCAAAAGTTTGATCTGAGTGTTGGATTGTGTTTCTTTGTAGCACTGCTGGCTGCCCATTTGGGGAGAGTTGCCATTTCCTTCACCATGTACCTGGTGGCTATAATGCTGTTGCCCAGATGATGAATCTGCCTCCTGCCCCAGGCCCACGAGGTGCAGCAGCGCCGACATCTGTACCAAATGGTGCTGTTTCAGCAACAGTTAAAACCAAAATTTGCAATAAATATAATACTGCCGAAGGATGCAAGTTTGGTGATAAGTGTCATTTTGCTCACGGTGATTGGGAGCTTGGCAAGCCTATTGCGCCATCACCACCTCACACAATGAGTGCAATTCCTGGACGATTTGGTGGCCGCATGGAGCCAGTTGTACCTGGACCTGCTGCTAGTTTTGGTGCTTCAGCGACAGCCAAAATTAGTGTGGAAGCTTCCCTAGCAGGAGCCATCATTGGGAAGAGTGGGGTGAACTCCAAGCAGATTTGTCGTCAGACAGGTGTTAAGTTAGCTATTCGAGAGCACGAGAGTAATCCAAATCTGAGGAACATTGAGCTCGAAGGTACATTTGAACAAATCCAGCAAGCAAGTGCAATGGTAAGAGAGCTTATTGCCAGCCTTGGACCAGTAGGTGGCCCAGGAAGGGCACCTGCGATTCCTGGAGGCCCTGCCCTCCAGGGAGCAACTACAAGACCAAACTGTGTGAGAATTTTGCGAAAGGTTCCTGCACCTTTGCGGAGAGGTGTCATTTTGCACATGGAGCAGCTGAGTTGCGCAAATCTGGAGTTTGAGAATTTTTCATTCAGTCTAGTTGATATCCTTTCTCCTGAGTTTGAGTTGTTCCTATGTAGCATCTTCCTAGTTTTGCGAGCTAAACCAATATGGGTTAAACAACAAATTTTCTCAGCAGTTTTTCTCCTAGGAATTTGAGCTATCTGGTTTTCGATACTTTAGTTACTATTGTTTTACATATCTGATAGATACTATTGAAAGTAGCGAAGGCCGCCAACTAATTATTTTACTATATCTGTTTTTCTTTTCTTTTTTTTTTTTTGTTTTTGTTTAACGGTAACAATTTACATTATTTCTATTCCTGTACGATGGGAAAGGGAGAGCCAATTGGACTTGTTAGCGATTGGCGTGTGAACTTTAGATAGTGCGCCCTATGGTCTCTTGAAGTGTATAGCCCTTGGTGGTGTCGTATTTGGGCTTGAGAGGTTGCACTTTTACAAAGCTCATGCCTTTGAGCGTGACGTGTTAGCCCAGACACCTGATTTCATGGGTTCGGCCCCTAAAATGGGCGTGTTGCCCATTTAAGTAACCAGCTTGTAGAAATTTGTCGTTGGCCTTGTTTTCGTTCCTTTTTTGCTCCTTCCCTCATCTCTGCTATCCTCTCTGTTTTCTTTACTGCGTGGCTAGTTTTTTTTTTTTCCCCCTGCAATAACAAATATCTAACATATTCCTACTCTTACATTATTGGACTAGTCTAAAAAAAATTTGTATGGAAGTTGGAGGGTGAATTTAGTTAAGTGCACTGTTGTACTCTATGAATTTTTTAAGAACAAGAAATTGTGTGATGCACTAGATGGGATTTTAATCCCCGACCTAGTGCACCGGAGAGCTCTTAAAGGGACTCTCCTTAATCATTGGATCAAGACCAATGATTTCGCGATGTGGCTAATTAGCTAGAGTCTAATATAAAGGTAGGGACCCTTTTAGTAAAGCAGAACGTCAGGGTCGCAAGACAATTTCTGGAATTGGAACTGAGTATAGAGAACGGGAAAGAAAAGAAGAACAAGAAAGAATCAGAAAAGATGAGAGGGAGGGAAAGGGAGAGAGAGAGAGCTAACAGAGAGGAAAGAGAAAATGATTCTGGCATTTATTCTCATAACCGTATTACAAATGCAGAGGACTATTTATTCAATTGATCCCAACAGAATTTAGCGCTCATTACATCCACCGCCCTTCCTTAAGTAGAATGGCATCGTATTATCACTGATTGGTTAAACGCAAAGGTTGCTACACTAAACGACCCTGTGGTACTTTATTTGGTCCTGACAGTCCCACCTTCTTAACAAAAAGCTTGTCCTCAAGCTTGGAAGTCTGGGAACTGGCTATCTATGAAGCTTCTATCCTCCCACGATGATTCCGACTCTGGTAAATTGTTCCATTTTACCAAGTATTGGACGACTGGTTTAGCAGCTCTCATTATTGCCCTTCTCTAGAGAACCTTCTCTGGCCTCAATAGGCATTGGTCTGTCATATCTAATTCCGGCAGGTTGGACTCCACACTCTGTGCAAGTCCTACCTTCTTCTTGAGTAAGGAGACGTGAAATACTGGATGAATCCTGGCCCCCTCGGGTAATTTGAGTTTGTAGGCTACTGCTCCCACCTTTGCACTAATCTGGAAGGGTCCAAAATATTTGGCAGATAGTTTTAAGCTTCTACGAATAGCAACCGACTGTTGCCTATAAGGTTGTAACTTGAGAAATACCCAATCCCCTTCCTGGAACTCTCTCTCTGAACGATGTTTGTCAGCGAAAACCTTCATGCAATTTTGAGCTTTGGCCAAGTTCTCTTTGATGAGAGATATGACCTGAAGCCTTGACTGGACCATACTGCTGGCAGCAGGTATGATGCTATCATGGAAGGGTCCCAAGGGTATATGAGTAGGTTTATATCCATACAATGCCTCAAAAGGTGTTAGCTGCAAGCTGGTGTGAAAGTTAGAATTGTACCATAATTCAGCTGTAGGTAGCCAGCTGCTCCAGTGGGAAGGGTGGTTACTGCACATACATCTGAGGTAGTTTTCCAAGCACTGATTGACCCTTTCAGTTTGTCCGTCTGATTGGGGATGATATGCTGAACTATAGTGCAAATTCACTCCCAATAAACGAAATAATTCCTGCCAGAAGTTACTAAGAAAAATCCTGTCCCTATCAGATATGATTGTTTCTGGTAGACCATGTAGCCTGTATACATTATCCAGAAAAATCTGAGCCACCTGCTGTGCAGAATAAGGATGAGTGAGTTTGATAAAGTGACTGAACTTAGTGAATCGATCCACCACTACCAGTATGGTATCAAATCCATGAGATAGTGGTAGTTGCTCAATGAAGTCCATGGTAAGGTGTGACCAGGCTTGTTGAGGCACTGGAATAGGCTGCAGTAGACCAGGATAAGGGACATTTTCGTGCTTGTTCCTCTGGCAAACATCACAGGATCTGACATATTGGATAACATCCCTTTTTAACCCAAGCCAATGGAACAAAGCCTGTATTCTGTGCAGACATCCCCTCTGTCCTGAGTGACCCCAATTGCTGAGTCATGCAAGAGCCTGATCAGCCTGACCCTGATGTCATTGGCTGAGCCTGACCCTGATGTCATTGGCTGAGCCTACATACAGTTTCCCTTTGAACTTGAGTACCCCTCCTTCCACCTGATAATCTAGATCTGCTTGGGGTCCAGTAGTATCTCAGCTAACTTCTGCTGAACCACTGTATCCCCAGTATAACTTTCTAGCACCTCCTGCATCCACCTAGGTTGAACTGTGGAGATGGCACATACCTGGTGCTCAGCTTGTTCACTGCCCGTGTCAATTCCCTCCAATCTCCTTCTGGACAAGGCATCAGCTACCCCATTTTCTGAGCCTCTCTTGTACTGTATTTCATAATCCAATCCAAGTAGTTTGGTTAGCCATTTGTGTTGCAGAGGATGAGTAAGTCTTTGCTCTAACAGATGTTTAAGGGCTTGGTGGTTAGTCTTGATGATAAAGTGGTGGCCAACTAAATAATGCTTCCATTTGCTCACAATCAATACTAATGCAAAAAGCTCATTCTCATAGACTGACAGCTCTAAATTCTGAGCTGATAAAGCTTTGCTAAGGAAAGCCAAGGGATGTCCCTGTTGCATCAGTACTGCCCAATGCCAACCCCACAGGCATCAGTCTCGATCACAAAAGGAAGATCAAAGTTTGGCATACTCAACACTGGAGCTGTGGTCATGGCTCTTTTTAAATCTTCAAAAGCCAACTGAGCATTGTGATTCCATGTAAACCCCTCTTTCTTAAGCAGGAGTGTCAGTGGCTTACTGATCACCCCATACCCCTTATGAACCTTCTGTAGTACCCAGTTAATCCCAGAAAACCCCTCAATTCCTTTACTGTTTTAGGAACAGGCCATGACTTGATGCATTCTATCTTGGTAGAGTCCATGCTCACCCCTGCTTCAGATATTATATGCCCCAGGTATTCAATTGAAGATTGAGCAAACGAACACTTTGACCTTTTGCAGTATAACTGATTTTCTGCTAATACAGTGAGTACAGTTTACAGGTGCTGTGCATGCGACTCCAAGGTTGGACTGTACACCAGAATGTCATCGAAGAATACTAAAACGAACTTCCTCAGATATAGCTGAAAAATCCTGTTCATCAATGCCTGGAATGTGGCTGGAGCGTTTGTCAATCCAAAAGGCATTACTAAGAATTCAAAGTGGCCATGGTGTGTCTGGAAAGCAGTTTTGGGAATGTCAACTGCCTTAACTCTTAGCTGATGGTAGCCAGCTCTGAGATCGAGTTTAGACATATATTTCGTGCCATGCAACTCATCTAACAACTCATCTATATTGGGGATAGAAAATTTGTCTTTTACAGTTAATTCATTCAGTTTCCTATAGTCTATACAGAGCCTCCAAGAATTATCCTTCTTTTTTACTAACAATACTGGAGAAGCAAAAGGACTAGTGCTGTGCATAATAATTCCATTAGTGAGCATCTCAGCAACCTGTTTTTCAATTTCTGCTTTGTGAGAGTGGGGGTACCTGTATGGCTTGAGTTTAAAAGGCTCAGCACCTGGTTTGAGGTTGATCTGATGATCCAGCTCCCTCTCTGGGGGTAAGCCTTTAGGAGTGGAAAACACCTCCGAATGCTGTTGCAGGATTCTTCCTATGGAGTCTGGAAGCTGATCCTCTGATCCCTTTGTTGCTTCTGTCTCCAGTGCTACACAGCTTGTTTGCTTCTCCTGTATGAACGTTCTGAGGTCCTTGCCCCTCACTAGCCTCATTGCAGGCTGATTCACCAACCCTTGCAAGTGCAGCAAACTCTCCTTATCACTAAGTGCAATGCTGAGGGAATGGAAATCAAAAGTAATGGGACTGAATTGGCACATCCAATCCACTCCTAGTATTATATCCCATCCCCCTAACTCCATTATTTTCAGATCAAATTGGAATCGATAGTCTTGTATCACCCAGCTTACATTGGGACTAATGACACCATTAGTGATGTCAGTCCCATCTGCTAAGGTCACAGTGAAAGGGCTGATTGAGTGGTATGGCAATTGCAACAGGTTGACAACTCTATGGTGGATAAAACTGTCAGAGCTTCCTGTGTCCACCAAGATCTTGACTGGAAATCCCCCTAAATTTCCCATCAGCAGGATAGACTTCCTTTTTATGGCTCCAGACAATGCATTGAGGGATACTTCTGCTAATTCCCCCACCCTTCCAGTGAGTTCATCTTGCTCTCCTTCAGCATCCTCAAATTCAACCTCCTCCTCCTCCTCTTCAGTGTTCACACAATTCAGATTTCCTTTCTTGCACTGGTGTCCTACTCCAAATTTTTCCCCACATCTGTAGCACAAGCCATGCTTACGTCTATACTGCATCTCCTCAGCTGTTATCTTACTGAGGTCTCTATGGATTGCATCAGTTTTCCTTGGGGCAGGGATGATAGCTGGTAACCTGTATGAGTGTGGCGAGCCTGGTCCTGTGTGGAATTCTTGTACATTCCAAATCTTGGTTCTACTGTCCCCCTCCCTGTGGCCTTACTTTGTTTGCTCTGGATTTCCAGTGAGCATTCTTGCAGCTCTGCCACTTCAAAAACCTTCATTAGTGTCCGGTTTGAACATCTTCATCATAGGCTTAATCTCGTCTTTGAGTCCACTAATAAAACTGGAAACAAAGTAAGACTCATCCAATCTAGGATTTCTGGTCAGCATTAGTGTTTCAATTCCTCAAATTTCTCCTCATAATCTTCAATAGTGCCTTTCTGATGTAACTTATTAAACTCCTCCACTATGTCACGTGAGTTTCTTCCAGAAAATCTCTCACACAAGAGTTCACTAAATTCTCCCCAGGACAGTCCAGGTTTCACAAGTTTTACCCCTTGGAACAATTGTCAGCCTTCCCTTCCAAAAACATTTCTGCCACATCTACTTTCTGACATTCTGCTATCTGATAATTCAGGAAGTATTTTTGACATTTTCTCACCCACTCCCTAGGTTCCCAGAGCTAAACATTGGCAACTCCATACGAGCATATTAGGAAAGAACTGCCTACCTCTCATCTCAGGTTGACTCCCTGGCCTTCGTTTGAAGGTGTCAACCGTAGATGCATGGAGAGGTGTCGGTAAGATTGGTTCAGTTCCTCCTCCATCCCCGTCAGAAATGCCTTTCTCCTTCATCAGCAGCTTCATCATCGTACTGAACCTCTGCTCCATCTTAATGAATTTCTGGTCCAGATTCCCCACCATTGCTTCCAATTTCGCATTATTCTGATCCATGTCGGTATGAAGCTTCTGCTGCAGCTCCTCCATACTTGAATTCTGCATTGTTGCCACAGATTCCATCAATTCCTGCAGCTTACTATCCTGTTTCTTGAGTTGATCTTCCAGACTCCTAAATCGAGTGCTCTCTGCCATATTAGATATCTTCGCGGCCAAGGATCGACCGCTCTGATACCAAATGTCAGGGTCGCAAGACAATTTCTGGAATTGGAACTGAGTATAGAGAACGGGAAAGAAAAGAAGAACAAGAAAGAATCAGAAAAGATGAGAGGGAGGGAAAGGAGAGAGAGAGCTAACAGAAAGGAAAGAGAAAATGATTCTGGCATTTATTCTCATAACCGTATTACAAATGCAGAGGGACTATTTATGCAATTGATCCCAACAGAATTTAGCGCTCATTACATCCACCGCCCTTCCTTAAGTAGAACGGCATCGTATTATCACTGATTGGTTAAACGCAAAGGTTGCTACACTAAACGACCCCGTGGTACTTTATTTGGTCCTGACACAGAATTTAAAAACATCTGGTGGCAGTTTTAAATAAGTAATAGTTGACAACAAGTCATCTTTCGGAATTTTTTTTCCCAGATAAAACATGGGTCCGAATCAAATGCGAATGGTCATTGCAGTCTGCCTTCTTGGCCAAACTTGATTTTTTAACCTTTACTAGTGTTTTTGGATATTAGTTTTTTTCTTTTTTTTTTCTTTTAATTTGAGTGGATTCGATTTCGATCATCAGTCTGCCTTCTTGGCCAAACTTGATTTTTTAACCTTTACTAGTGTTTTTGGATATTAGTTTTTTTCTTTTTTTTTTCTTTTAATTTGAGTGGATTCGATTTCGATCATCATCATGATCCTTCGAAATCATAAATTACTTATAAAAATTATTACAAATCGCTTACAAACACAAACTGCAACGAAATTCAAATACACGATTTTTTGTAAAGAAATTATCAATCCTTGTCAATTGAGTCAATTTATGAGCCAATTTATGTTAACGTGTGAATATTAGCTGATCGTGGAGTCCAGTGATATTCTTCACCCGAAAAGAGAATAAATTCTTTTTTCTAGCCTACAATTTTACCCCATGGTATATAGTACATCTGGATATGCTGAAAGGGTTGCCAAGCTGAAGATGGAGTGCGCAAACTAATTTTGATTAATGCTTGAGGGTCTGTTTTTATTTCCTTCCGGTGAAGTAAATCTCGATTAGTTGATCACAAAAGGCATGGAGTGAGGCATCTTCTTCCGGTGATAATTTTCTCCTTTAACTCGTTGGTCACGTATATTGAAAATAAGGCACTATCCAAAAAGCTGATATAGTTTTTTTTTTTTTTTTTTTTTTGGGCGGGGGTAACTAAAAGACATTGATGAAGAATTCATGATGCATTCGATCAAATGAAAGAGTCTTTATTGAAACTCTCTATTCTATCAAAAAAGGACTAATAGAAATTCTTATGTCTCAAATCTATCCATGTTGAGGAGAAACTTAACATGGGATGAAAACGAATTACCACGAACATGTAATATCCTCACTTATTACTAAAAATTTCCACTCCACGAAAGTCACTAATAGTAATAAACAACTTTTACATAGATGCTAGAAGTGAACCTACGAATGACATTATCGAAAAAGCAAGCTGTAAATCCTAAGTAACCTAAGATCAGAAATAGTCGAATACAACAAGTGGACCGTCCAACTTAAAAGGTTCCAAGTCCTTATTCAAAGCAAGATTTAAAAGGTCCAATTATCTAATCTAGTCTAAGTATAAGAACCACCAATGTTAGTAGCCGCACCAACATGGGTGTTATGGGCAGCATTAGTCCTGCCAGTCCCAGTGGCCGTCCCAATGGCGGTGGGACTCAACCACGCCTTCGTAACTTGTCGGTGGGCTGTCCGGTGCCATGGCCGGGCAAGGCCGACTGCTGATGAGTCCCGGTAGGATGTCCTGGTGCACCCGTGTGGAATAGTGTGCGGCTGGCCAGTGTTTTTGGTTGCATTCCTAGCCGCAGCGTTATGCTCCTGAGCCGCACGCTTGTCAAATTCAGCCTGATTCACCTTCTGTTCCTTCCTCTCTGTCGCCATCTCTTTCTCAGTTGGATTATTTGCAGCGGCACGATCAACCTGCTCAGACAATTTAGTTGCAATACATGTGCTTCATCCCGTTTCAGAAATTAGCAGAGAAAGGCGTGACACAGGGATTTTATGATCATGCTTAATAGTTTTGGCGTAAAATTGGCATTCAAGAACTAGTAGATGCATGGAGCCAAGAAAATGGTTCGCATAAGGATTTGGAGTGCACTTTTCCAGACATGTTTCAAGTCTTAAAAAAATTGCGATATTGTTCAGTAAATTGCATGTCAAAATTGAAAATTAATGCTAGGGAAAGGGATAAATAAGTGCAGTATATAAACTTCTCTTGCATGGTGGCCTTGGTTTTCTCCATTCCGGACTTGGCTGAGGCGGCAACATTGGCTGCTTTCTCCTTGATGGCCTGCATTTTCCACTCTCTCTTTTGCTCTGAAATCTAACTTGGTAGTGTTAATTTGCAAGAAGTTATCTAAGAGAAACTTTGTAACTGTTTGATTGATGATTTGATTCTTGAACAAGGTCCGAGAAAGCGGTTAAATAGATTGTGGAAAGTATGGAGATAAAGACAAGTGTTACTCAAACAAGAGGAACACTTGACTCCAGTTTTCGTGGGGTTTCAAACACACGTCCACAAGGTGGCATCCTCTATTATACGTGGACTGCTGAGCGGCCACCGAGGGCAGTTTACCAATCCGCGTAAAGAAAGATAAGGCTTTGTCGGGAATTTTCCCCGAGAAGACAGGGCCACGCCACGTAGCAATAGGATTATGGCATTGCTAATTTTTATTTTTTAGGGCTCCATTGATTTTGAAATGCAGTCACGGTTTGCCTCCCCTAGGGTTGCTAGAAACCCTAGAGATTCAAGGCGCTCCTGAGTTATTCGTGAGCACCTCGATCGAGCTCGGTCAAAATCAAATTTGAGTGCTAGAGATTCAAGGTGCTTGTGAGTTATTTGCAAGTAACTTGGTCGAGTTCAATTAAAATCGAATTCGAATCGAGTTTTAGCAGTTCGTTTTTGAATTTGAATCAAGTATAGACCTTAGAAAATGAGGTTCAAGTATTTGACAAACTTATTTGAATAATTAAATTTTTAATTGAAAACAAATATATATGTGAAATTATACTTATAAGTATGAAAATTATGAAATTTATCACAAAAAAATTGAGTTCACGTATGACATGACTCGTAAGGATTCTCAAGCTTATTCAAATTGAGCTCGAGTTTGTAAACTACTTGCTCAGCTGAGTTCAAGTTTAAGAATCTTTACTTAAACTCGAGTTCGAATAGAATTGCAATGATTGAGTTCGAGATCAAACATGATACTATTCGAACTTGAATCGACTCAAATGCACCCCTAAGCTCTATCATCAAGGAGTGAAATATACTTAAGACCACATCTTTAAGTTAAAGAAAATGGGTAGTAAATAGCTCAACAGTTTCCAACCTCTAGAGTCTAGGCATTTAGTTTCTTTGAAGTTGGGTGTGGTTTATCACTCATTCATTTAGAAATTTCGAGTAAATGATTATTTATATTAACAAAAATGTATTTCGAGGAGTTGAGGATGAAAAGGTTATAAATTTTTGGGTTAATTCCACTTTGTCCCCCCAAACTTTGGACGATTATCCACTTAAGTCCCTAAATTTCAAAATGGGACACGTAAGTCCCTAAACTTATAAATACCTCCCACTTAAGGAAAATTGTTAACAAATCCTGAATGCCGTTGGTAGTCGAAGTGTCCCATTTTATAAGGGTTTAGGGTTTTAAGTGTCCAATTTTATAAGTTCAGGGACTTAGGTGGGAGGTATTTATAAGTTTAGGGACTTAAGTGTCCAATTTTGAAGTTTAGGGACTTAAGTGGATAATCGTCCAAAGTTTGGGGGGACAAAGTGGAATTAACCCTAAATTTTTATCAAAACAGAAAGGCTAATCGTGAGCAATTGTAAATGATTTTGTATTTTTTTTTAAAAAAAGTAAAATAATACTTTAACTTCGACTCTTCGAGTAAACTTCGAGTATGTCCTAATGTTCTTTTTATATTATGTCTTTATATTAATTCTACTAGTTACGTAAATATTAATATGTCCTAATATTTTAAATAAAAAAAGAGCACGTACAAAATTTTAGCGTTGTTTTTTCTATGACTCCCCCACTGTCCCCTCCCCGGCCCACCCCACCGGTTCTAAACAAACGAAGCAGGCAGGGAACCCACCATGTCAGGGAAAATCTTAATTAGGGTGAAAACGAACCAAAAAAGCACACTATAATCACTTATTGCCGTACTTATCAAACATGACCCGGGAAGAACTCAAACAAACATACTGGCGGGATTAATGGTTGAGTCAGTAAGTCATTAAAATATAATGTTTATAAATGCTGATAATATATTTGTTATCTCTTAGTATATGTAAGGTGTGTTTAAACATTAATTATTGTACTTAAAAAGATATATTATGAGAATATAAATATTGATAGAGCACTCAATTTCATTTTTTACTATACTTTACGAATACAGACTCGTAGGCAAAGACAAATCAAATTTATTTTATTTACTAATACAACAAAATTTTAAACTAGAAATTATATCTAGTTATCGAGACACATCGACGCGTGTGCAACATGACAGAAAGTAATATAGTATTAATTAATTGATCGACGCGTGTGCAACATGACAGAAAGTAATATCTCCCGTGTGCAACACGACAGAAAGTAATATAGTATTAATTAATCGATGCGCGTGCAACACGACAAAAAGTAATATTAACTAAATTGAATGCATTATAAAGATACACGCAGTATGTGTGTGTGTCCGGAATACATATAAAAACGAATTGTATGGCATGGGAATATATACAACAATTGTGCTAACAAAATATTAATGCCATTAAAATGTATATATGTGTGGAAACCCTCCATATTGGTGTTTACTATCTATGAGCTAATACTTGCTGGAGACATCTCGTTGGTAAGCATCAAAGTCGAGCAATAATGATGGAATGGGAACTTCTCAGTTTGAAAGTTCTAGCGATTAATTTTACATAAGAAAGTAAATAAATATAGTTAAAGCAACATTTGGTCAACATGTAAAAGTCTAAATTAGTGGTAAAATTAGAGAAGGATATCCAAATTTGAAACCTTGATAAAAGTGTGTTTAAGCAAACCACCGCCGGGTTCCCTCATAATTAAACCAGTTGGTTAAATGAATTTGACCAAGTAAACTGCTCAAAGCAGATTCAAAAAGCGGGCTGGCCTGGGGGCGGTCCACCGACGAGCGGTTCAACCTCCGAGCCAATTACTGTGCTTATAACCAAAATTTCATGTTCAATAATTAAGCACTTCACAACACTACAATGGAATGAATGGCAGACAAATGCTTGTTCAAGAGGTGAACTCAGGATTTATCTTATCATGTGGTCTGAAGAAGTTGGAAATTAAGATAGTTCTACTCTGGCCTGAAATTCTTGCTGGCCCGGAAACTACGTACTGCTTGGGAAAATACCAAATATTCATGTCATGTGTGATCTGACATAAAAATAGATTTCATTGCTTTCGAAAAAATTAACATTTGAATTCCTCGAAACAACACCATAAATCTATCAACATGTGCAAGTTAAAGGTTTTAAAGAACCTCCAATGTTATTCCCTTATTCCAAACCCTGGCTAATTCTGTATAATACAACCCTAGTTATAAGAGGATCACCCCTTAACGTACTACTAAACAAAGTATTGGCTCAAACTGAAACATGCGTCATAAACACTCAGACTAGCTAATGTGTAGCACCAGGTCCATAACCAGTCCTAGCTCCTCCGCCAACCCCGGGTCTTGAACTCCCGGTCTGTCCACATCCACCCGGTCAGGATCAAAACACCGGTCCTTCCACTCCCCGTGTTCACTCCTGCAGGATACTGCGACCCAACAACTCCACTAGTCACGCTAGTTGGATAATCCTCCCTAACCGGCCCTTGAGCCGAGTAACCAGCGTGGCCGAGCGGATCACCCGCCGTGTGGAGGGTTGTGGTCGCCTCTCCTGGCAGCTTTGCGCATCCGTCCCTTCTCACACTCTGCTTCAAAGAACTTTTCCTCTTCTTCCGCTCAGCCATCTCCTTTTTCACTGGATCAGTAGTCATCTTTTCAGCCTGCATATATACGTACCCAAAAACAACAAAAATATATCAATACTGACACACTCTACCAGCAATCTTGGGTTGAATTGGTAAATTCATTGGTTTAAACAAAGTCGTTTTGAACCAAAATCGAACTTTTCAGCCTCCTAGGTCGTGCTAAACAAGTTAAAACAACTTACCTTTTCTTGTAAAGCGGCCTTGGTCTTATCCATACCGGACTTTGCCGAAGCAGCTACGTCGGCTGATGTTTCCTTTGCTTTCTGCATTTTTCTCTCTGTGGCAAAGATTAATTATGGCTTATTTCTGTACCAAATCCTTGCCTATAACTAAACGAGCATATATCCCTTGACCATACCATGCTCAAGTGACCAACTTCACATGGTTTTATAGTATGTGCATGGGCGTGGAGAGGATAGGAAATGGGAGGGGGTGACACGTTGTCGTGGGAATACACGTGGAGATTGAAGGGACAACTTAGGTGTGGAGATTTGACGCTTGTCGAGGGAAGTGGATAAGAATAGAAGTTTGGAGATGATGACTGAGGAGAGGGAGAGGAGGACTTTAACTTGCTTCTGTGCTGCTACATTTCGTACGTGGAGCCCTGCAATGGCTTCAAAATTGTTGTCTCAAACTATGTGCTACGCGTTGTGTTCAGTGATAAATTAAATAGGGAAATGATTCTCCATACGACTGAATTATCTTGTTAGGATTGCAAATAAATCAAATCCTTGGGAGTTGATTTGATCAAATCGAGTTATTGAACTTGAAATGAGCAAAGAAAAACTCGCCAGCCAACTCTCTTTTCTAATTTTTATTTTAATAATAAAATTATATATGTGACTCTAATATTTGTTTTATTTATTAGAAAATGACTATTTTATATATTTTTAAAAAATAATTATTTTTTATTTTTTAAAATTCTACTAGATTCGAATTTGAAATCAAATTCAAATTTAAGTTTTACAATTAAAAATTCTTTGAGTTTAAGTTCGAATTTGAACTTAATAAAATCGAATCGAGCTCGACTCATTATGTCAAAATTCGATTCGATTTGATTCGTTTGCAATTTTAAGTCGGATAGACTCATCCGAACTTATGTGACTTAGCTAAAAGACTAACATATCCAGTCTTTGCGTTCTCTTCATCTTCCTCGTTATTTCAGCCTCCACCATTGCACCAAACTCTGTCTCTCCACATTTGTCTAACAACCCACAAGGCTGCAACAACTCGCCTCTCCCACATGCTCAAAACGCTCAACCACTAGCCCTGCATTCCCTAAATCCCAATTTTAACTGCTGCCTTTCCTCAAAACACAGCCGAAACCCACTTTAATTTCTTCTGTCGCCAAGAAAATAAATTAGGAAAACATTGCTTGGCTTGTATTATTATCATTTATCGGAGGAATTATACTTTTGTAATATAAAGAAATATCTATGCTATACACAAAGGTGGAGGGAGATTTTGGTGTCAACAAAATTTTGTCACTTTACGTTTTTCCTAAATGACCTTTACTAACAACCTAATATAATCAACCACCAATTATGGTTAATTATGAACTATTTCTGAATAACTATCTATTTATACATTTTGTTATGGTGAATTTTTTAATATCTATTGTCAAAATATAAAACAAATTCTTCTGGAAATGATATTAATTTGCTCAAAAAAAATTTTAATAGTATTTTCCTATTAGTTGCTCACACATTGGCATGTGCCCTAAATACTAGTCTCAATTAAACATGTCAATTTTGAATAGAACAATTCCTACTTTCTTGTAATGCTACGAGGAAACCACCAGCCTTTGGGTTGGTGGCTACCACCAACTCTTGCCTCCCATCAATTGTCACAATATGTGACTTCTTTTTAAAAAAATCAAGATGGGTGTAGTGTATTTGTTTGGTCCGATGGTAATTCAGTTCCCATCGGCTTCTTATAGACCTAGTTGGGCCTCCCTTTTAGGTTAGAATAGAGTAGGATTATATAGATAAAATGATGGGCCTCCTCTTTAGGTTATGATAGAGTAGAATTATATAGATAAAGTGACGATTAACAAAAAAAAAATAATACTACGAGGACGGCGAAGTGAAACTGATTTGGAGCCAACAGTGTTGAGTGGTTGCACTGTTGAAATACGTGTTCAATTGTTTGCCGTGCTTGAAGTCTTCAAACAGGTTTAGATAGCATCACAGACAGAGGGGAAGTAGTCTTCATTTATTCCTCTTACCTAATCTTGGACTTTAATTAATCTCAACTACACGAAAAGAGAGAGGTAGTTGGCAATGGGATTCCTATTGTGATTGAATTGAAATGGAATTAATGCAAAATTAGGTAAAAGGAATAAATGAAGGACTACTTCATTTATAGACCTGCGTACTAACTTGTCCATCTGCGTACCTAAGTATTGGGTAAAAGGGACTCGGGGGCACGGACGGTTGCACCTGCAACCGTCCCAGGCGGTTTTCGTTATTATCAACTACGCGTAACTTTCTTTGTATATCGTGTAATTTTTTTTGCACATCACGTAACTTTAGAGCAAATTTTTGTGGAACCCACACATGTCGTGAAAATCGAGTTACAACTTGTAATCTCAGCTGCACAAAATTTTGAGACCAAATCCTGGCCATTAACCGCTCAGGTGCAACCGTCCCTGCCCATTTCCATCGTGTGGCCATCTGAGCCCAATCGTGATTCTTGCTTTACAAAGGGCATCCCTGAACATGTGCACTGAACAAGCTTGAATTTGAGTTTTACAGAATCTTCTATCTGAGAGTCTGAGACACCACCACCAACTGATAGTTGTATTGTATATGCCAAAACGCTTTCTTGTTTGTTAAGAGCACTTAAAAGTTGGGTATGCATTTGTTTGTTAAAGTTCCCTATTCACAAATTTTACGTAAAAAATAATTTATACCCTTTTTCTTAACATGTGTTTAGAAACATGAATTTCAGTTTTGCAAGAATCTATCTGAAACGCACTTATGTGATGGTAGTGTATATGTCAAAGATCTTTTTTTGTTTGTTGGAGCACCATTTGGTTTGCTAAAGTGCATTTTTCATAAATTGTACATACATAAATTGTATCCTTTTTCTCAAGAGTTTATCCTTTCCTTTTCTTTTCTTTTTTTTTTCTAGTATAAATATTACACTGTTAATTGCCAAGCCTCACAACTGATAGGCTGACTATTAGTACTTCCGCAAGGCAACTACTTTGTTTTGTCTTTGAGTTTTGCAAACGATTGATTAGTTTTGGCATCAAGACCAAATAAATGAAGAGTTTTTCTCTTCGTCTTTTCTTTTTCTTTTTTCTTTCGCTTTTCTTATTGTCGAATGTTCATGCAACTTTTGTCCACGAAATTGGTTGGATTATTCCTCATGATGAGCGGCTAAATTTCTTTTTCTAGTCAAGGAACAATCATCTAAACTTGTGAAAATCGAATTGATTATTTTTATTTCTTTTATATACTGATATTCGTATGTTCTCTGATTTAATTTTTTATGGTTGTTATTTTATTTGAATATCAAGGGCACCCGATATTTAATTAATCTAATAACCTAAAACCAGTTAGAGCAGTTAAATCCATAATTATTTAAAATTTAAATTAGTGGTGACTGGCATGATTGAATTTGTGTTAGGAAAACATATGAGTTAACTTAAAATAACCCTCATAGCTTGTTATTTGGTTTGAACAGGGTTTCTTTAATTCTTAAGACAATTGAAAAATTGAACTCTGTGATCGTATCTAGAGTTATTTCTTGATTAGGGGAGTAATTAATAGTCATACCTTGATCACCGATACAGTAAGAAGAAGTTGATTGTCATCGTGTGTTTAGTAGTTATAAATTATTTATCAGCGAATAAATAAGATTTTCATTATTTTGATGATCAATTGATTGAACCATTTCCAAAGTTAGTCCTTGGTTAGAGCTTGTTTATTATTGATTTAATTTTAATAAAATATCACTTATTTTTTATTTGTTTATTTATTTTTCTTTGAGCTGTTTAGTTATCTTCATTTTTATAAAAATCCCCCCTACTTTGAACTAGAGGAGAAACGAATTTCTCCGGTCTCTGTGGATTTGACCTTATTTACTACTGTATACAAAATTCATAATTTATTTGACCAGGTATTTATTATTGTATAGGCTCGACGCCTGTCAAGCACCAACATGTTTATCATGTTCTTGGCTATCTTTATTTTTTCCAAAAAAGAAAAATGTTCCAACATAGTGAACACAGTACTTCGGACTGACAAAGGAAATTTCAATGCAAAATCCCAGAAAGAGCAAGTCTTTGAGCATGTTTGAACTAGCATGAAAGTTTAGTTTCACAAGAATCCAACCGCTGAAGAAACACGCCCTCCATCTGATAAGTGTTTTGTTTGCGGATCTTTTTTTTTTTTTTTTTGGATAGGAGATTATTTTGAAAAAATAATTTTTTTAAAAAAACTATAGTACTTTTCTAATGTGATAATATTTTTTTAAAAAAAAGTATAGTATTTTATGTTTGCTTTTTCGTTTTCGGGTTTTCGTTCTTTTTGTCCAAGTGTAGAGTCTCTAATTTTTAATCACAAACAAATTTTCAGCTACCATCCAGAAAGCAATTTTCCTATGAAGATATACTTGTAAAAATAGCCAAACTAACTTTCTGCAAAAGCATATACACTTTTGCATGGCTTGGTTTATGCTCTTCCAATAAGTTTTTTTTCTTGTTTAAATGTAACCAGTTTTTGCAAACAATTTGATTTTGCACTGATGAAGCAATCTCAACTAGTCAATTCTATATATTAAACCTGGCATAGTTTTGGTTTTTGTCTATTGCATATCACTTTCTTCATAAATACTCTCTTATACAACTTGGTTTATCAATATTGACACCACTAACGAAAAGAAAAAAACAAAAATAAAAAACAACATCATCTAACGGTCATGGAGAACCGGATCCGAGGATGTTGCTGGAGAAAAGCCCCAACTTCACTGCTGTTTCCATCTTTGTGATTCTTCTGTTTAATTTTGCTTTACAGGGAGGATTATGCCTTTTGGAGTCCACTTACAAAAAGTGTATCTCGTGATTCTTCTGTTTAATTTTATTTTATATGGAGGATTAAGCTTTTTAGAGTCCATCTACCTAATTTTTTACCAAGGATTATGCTTTCACAGTCAACCGGTAAAGGTTACTGAAAATCTACTAGATATTTAGAGTTCATCTACCTAATTTTATGTGGAGGATTATGCTTTTCGAATCCAGTTACAAGAGTGATTGAAAATCACGACATTTTTTAATAATAGAAACAAATATAAGAATTCCTGAAAATAGATCATCTTTTTAATTATTACTATCATTTAAGTTTTTTGTTCTTAAATGTAAAGTTTTGCAATTAAAATTTTCGATTTATAATTTCTTTTATCTTACCGTCCAACTCAACTCTTTTCA